ATAAAAATTATTGTGATTTGGAAATTTTAACTTGGGAAATTTTGTGATGAGATTTCAATACTTTGTGAATTGGTATGATGATAGGGTTGAATAATTGAGTTGTGGACCATTGGTATGATTTAATAATATGATTGTATGATATGTGTGAGTGTTGAATTGGAATGAAAACCTTGGATTATGTATCCTTGAGAAATTCAAACCACAGAGGGTTTGGAGGAAAAATGATGTAAAAATTGTGTAGATGAGGTTGTATGGTTGAAAATGGTGTTTAAATGGATGGTAGGTTAGTATGATGAAATGGAATTGGAAGGAAGAATGTTGGATGGTTATGTGTGTAGGAATTCGTCCTATATGGAAGTCTAAGGAAAAATAAATGTGAAATAGCCCTTTGGCCTAAGTGAATAGGTTAGGAATCAGTATTTTGAAAGTGAATTGATTGCCTTAAAAATTGTAGTGATGATCATTGTTGTTTGATCATATAGGTTGCCTCTCACGGAACCAATAGAAGTGGAATAAGCTTGGAGCTTACGTGTGGAGCATTTCGTACGGAGTTAAGGTAAACTCTTGGTACTTGGGTTTTATCCCTTGTGTGTTCCGCCACACCTAGTGGAAGGTTGTGGTTGGATTTTGTGCTCTTTGACATTGTGTGAAATGACATGTTCATGCATTATTGCTTTGATTGTGTGACATATTCTGTGATCTCTGGCCAGTAGATGTGTGTGGTTTGGACTTCCGCTGGAGATATCCCTTTGGGGGATTCCGGTCGGGTTTTGCCGTGGGGCCGACTCTAAGAGTGGCACCAGGATGGTCCAAACGTGGGACTTTTGCTGGATATGGCTCATGAGGAGTTCTAGTTGGATTTTTCCATGAGGTCATCTCATCCATGGGAGAGGCACTAGGAAGCCTCCCGGGAGTTATATGATAGAGTCCTTGAACGAAATCCTTATGTGGATGTTCTTGGATGTGAGCCCAGTGTGATGTGATTTTGTATGTTATGCATTTTATATGATGATCATTGGATGCACATTGAGTGAACCATGGGGTGGAGTGATCCTCCAGTACCCTTGGTTTACTGAGATATATTTGTATATCTCACCCCACGTTTGGGGACATCATTTTAGGTTATAGTGAGCATGGAGGACCATCGGGCAAGAGTCCCGCTTAGTGGAGGAGTTGGATCATGATGTGCATATGGAGAACATGAAATTTTGGAGGAGTTTATTTGATGCACATAGCATTACATTTAGCATTTTGGACTTAGATCATGAACATATTGCATGTTGAGATTTTCATGCTTTTGTGGTGTTCATGATTAGATTGTAAGTCTTTTGTAATTGATTTACATTTCATGCTTATTGTTTATATTGACATATTGGTGAGCATGAGACTTGTCCATGGCCACATATTTTGCGTTTAGAGGCATTTGGATACTTGTGATATAAAATGAGCCATATGACGTGTAAATGGCAAAGAATATGGTGAATGATGAAAAATGATGCATTGGTATTAGATTATGCATGATGGAAGGGCCTAGAGCCTACACTAGTAATGAAACATGTGTTATGTTAAGTGTTAAAGTGTTAGGAATGAAATTATGGATCCTGTGTGAAGTCAAAAAACTGTCAAAACTGGGATTTCACGGTAGGGAATCGATTCCCTGCTGTTGGGAATCGATTCCCTGAAACAGAGCACGTAAATTTCAGCCACTGAGAAGGATGTAAATTGATTCCTAAAAATAGGGGAGCAAAAATTATGCTTCTGTCTGTTACTGTAGCTACTGGGAATCAATTCCTCGCTGTTGGGAATCGATTCCCACTGTGAAATTTTTGAAAATGAGTCATTTTATAAACTAGAGTTAATGGTATTACTTGGAGGGGTTATAATCAATAAGTTGTATGCTTCCGCGAGTTTTGTAATTACAATTACAGTGTTGTTTTAATTGATTACGAAAATGGTTAATGTTTAAAGAAAAGAATGTAATAAAAGAAAAAGTTTACTCGTAATTTAATTAGCTCAATTACTGTGATTATAACTGCGCTTAATACCATATGCAATGATAATATTACCGGTACGTAACAGGCTGTTACAGAATGATTGAGTGAAAAAGTCCTACATTGGTTAAGAATGAAATAAGTGAGCACCATGTAAGTGGAAGGACCCATGCACCTAATGCCTTAAGGTTTTGGGTTTGATTGTGGTGTTCCGAGCCCACTTAATGTTGCTGCTCACTTGGCCCATGGTTGGCGGTCTCTCCTCGCCATGAGCTCCCCCTGCACAACCCAACAACTGGTGTCATAGATAATGGTGGATTGACCTGTGGTGATCCAAGTATGTCTTGATAAGGGAAGCCAATGTCTTGATGAGGGCAACCAAGCCTTGATGGAAGAGCCAATGTTTGATGAGAAGCCAAGCATTGATGAACCCCATGAATACTCGAAGAAGCTTCTCCTTGAGGGAGAAAGAATGTGGGCCTTGGACTCACGCTTGAGGGGGAGATGTTGAGGAATCCAAGTGTGAATGGTTGAGTGAAAAAGTCCCTCATTGGTTAAGAATGGAATAAATGAGCACCATATAAGTGGAAGGACCCATGCATCTAATGCCTTAAGATTTTGGGTTTAATTGTGGTGTTCCGAGCCCACTTAATGTTGCTGCTCACTTGGCCCATGGTTGGCGGTCTCTCCCTGCCATGAGCTCCCCCTGCACGACCCAACAATAGGCTCAGAATTACAAATTACAAATAAATTTGAATTGGCGATAATCTTAGCCAACTCGTAAAATGACAACTCCTAATAAAACGCAATCAACTCCTATTAAATACAAAACACAATCAACTGCTATTAAATACAAAATGCAATCAGCTCCAATTAAATACAAAACACAATCAACTCCTATTAAATACAAAATGTAATCAACTCCTATTACATTAAACTCAAATTCAAAATTCAAATAACCTCCAATACTCCCCCTCAAGTTGGAGCATGTAAGGATGAAATACCCAACTTGGGAAGGAAACCATGGAAAGTCGAGTATCCAAGAGCCTTTGTGAACAAATCTGCCAGCTGAGATCGAGAACGAACATGCGCTGTAGCAATATAACCCGCAGAAATATGATCCCGAACAAAGTAACAGTCAAGCTTAATATGTTTAGTTCGCTCGTGAAATACTGGATTAGCAGCAATGTGAAGTGCTGCTTGATTATCACATAGGAGATCCATAGGACCATAATGATTAACTCCAAGACTCAAGAGAAATCTTTTAAGCCAAATCAACTCTGAAGTAATCGCAGTCATGGCCTTGTATTCGGCCTTTGCTGAAGAATGAGCTACGGTGACTTATTTCTTTGTTCTCCAAGATACAAGAGAGTGACTGTTGCGACTCGGCAAGTGCACCGGTCGTAAAAGTAATAAAAGTGTACTGAGTACGAGATCATTCCCACGACGATCGGAATTTCAAGCACTAGTTCGCTAATCGCGTTTTAGTTGGACAATCAAAAGTTGGATTGGAGAGAATTGTAATTAAAGAACTTAAAAATTAAAGACAAGTAATGAGATGCAATTAAAGAAATTTCAGAATTAAAAAGACAATTTAAAAGATGATGATTGATTAAGAATGTAAAAACAAGCGTAGTTAGGGTTTCGACTTCCCCCAATCTCCTCAGTATGTTATGAATTAAACAGTCAAGAACCTTTTCTTAATATATTGCCAATCAATTCTATTTAATTTAATTAGGGCTCAATTCCTTGTTACCCTAAATCTATGTGATCTTGAAAGAACTCTAGTTCCCCGATTATTCTCCAAGAAAACATGCATTAAGACCAAGAATTTCAAGATTGCACAATTACCCTATGTTTATCCCTAGTTCACAAGGATTATGATAAATTTATCAAGTAAGGGTTCATGCACCAACATCCCTATTGTCATACAATTCCCCAAAATCATTCTATAACGAGTAAACTCAGAAAACATTAGAAACAGATAAATTTATTCAATTATAAAAAAAATCAGAGACAATTTCATTCATAAACATAAAGATTCAATTGGGTTCCATCTACCCCTAACTACATAAAAAACTAGCCTAGCATACTGAATTGAAAAACAATAAAAAAGAAAAGAGAAGCAGTATAAGGCCTAGCCAGCTAGTCTCTCCAACATCTGGTCTAAGAAGGGAATAGGGAAGTGGTCCTTTCGAGTGGCTGCATTAAGTCTTCTATAGTCAACATACATCCTCCACCCTGTGACTGTCCTTGTGGGAATCAGTTCGTTGTTCTCATTTCTTACCACCGTAACTCCATCTTTCTTGGGTACAGATTGTACAAGACTTACCCATGCGCTATCAGATATAGGATAGATCATCCCTGCATCCAACAGTTTAACTACTTCTTTCCTCACCACTTCTTTCATGGTTGGATTGAGTCTCCTTTGTGGCTGCCTTACAAGTTTAACATCATCTTCCATCATAATTTTATGAGTACAAAAGGAAGAGTTTATACCTTTTAAGTCGGAGAAGGACCATCATGTGGCAGCTTTGTGTTTCTTCAGCACTTTGAGAAGTTTTTCTTCTTCTCCGGTTATCAGATCAACATTGATGATCACAGGATATGTGTTATTGTCACCAAGGAAAGCATATTTCAGATTTGGAGGTAACTCCTTAAGCTCCACCTTCGGTGCTCCAAGATGGATGTCATCTTTCTTTCTTTCTAATTCTTCCACCACCGGTTCTTTATCGGCTATTTCAGCTTCTTCATTGATTTGTTCTAACTCGAGTGGGGAGCTCTCCTCTTTCATAGTATCATCAATTGCTTCTTGTATTATGTCAATCATAAAACATTCTCCTCCGTCTGATGGATGTTTCATTGATTCGAAGACATCAATGGTGACTGTTTCTTCGTTCATTCTCATCATCAGTTTTCCTTGCTCCACATCGATCATTGCTCTTGCGGTGGCTAAGAATGGCCTCCCAAGCAGTAGGGGAATCTCAACATCTTCTTCCATATTCAGAATTACAAAATCTGCAAGAAGATAAATTTGTCAATTTTAACTAAAACATCTTCAATTACCCCATCTGGTCGTCTGATCGATCTATCAGCTAACTGGAGAGAAACTGTAGTTGGCTTTAGCTCTTTGATTCCAAGAGCTTTGCACATGGACATTGGCATCAGGTTTATACTTTCTCCCAGATCACATAGTGTTTTTCCTACTTCAATATTTCCTATGGCTATAGGGATATTGAAGCTTCCTAGATCTTTCAGCTTGGGAGGAAGTTTCTTCTGGATGATTGCGCTGCATTCCTCTGTTAGGGCCACTGTTTCGCACTCCTTCAGCTTGCGCTTCTTTGACAGAAGGTCTGTCATGAATTTCGCATAGTTCGGCATGCTTTCCAGGGCTTCTGTGAACGAAATGTTTACTTGTAGCTTCTTGAAGATATCCAGAAATTTGGTGTATTGTTGTTTCTGGATTTCTTGCTTCAATCGCTGTGGGTATGGAACTCGTGCATAGGGAGATGGATCTACCGGTTTTGGTTGCTAGTCCAGAGCTTTCTTTTTCTCCCGTTTGAACAGCTTCTTCTCTGGACTGCTCTTTTCAGCTTCTTCTGCATCTTCTTCTTTCTCTTTTTCAGCTACAGGTTCTGCTTCTTCCTTCTTCTCCACTGGTGGCTTTTCCAGAGGTTGGATCATGGTCCCACTTCTAGTAACAATTGAATTACATTGAGCATTTGGGTTTGTATCTGTGTTACTTGGGAAGGTGCCATGGGTTCTTTCAGCAAATTGTCTTGACAACTGACCAATTTGAGTCTCCAAGTTCCGGATCGAAGCTTCTTGATTCCGGAATGATGCTCGTGTTTCATCTCTGAAGGCATCTGCATTTTGAATGTAGTCTGATGTGGTCTTGGACAGCTTGCAAAAGCCTTTTCCCATTCTGAAGTGGTGCCTTGAGGTAAAGGTTGTTGTTGCAATGGAAACAGAGGGTTCAGTTGATGGTTAGACTTGTAACTAAACCCAGGGTGTTGGTTAGGATTTTTCCACCCTTGATTACCATATTGATTTCTTCCTGGATTGTTCTGGTTCTTTTGATCGTACCAGATTCCATTGACCTCTGCTGGTGGCTTTTCAGTTGTTCTCATGTAGTCACAATCTTCAGTCGCATGAGCTTTTGCACAAATACCACATTTAATTTAAGAATTACTAACAGAAGAAACATGAGAAAGATTAAATTGTTTAGTAAAGGCATCTAATTGTTCTTGTTGTTTCTTGTGCATTTGCAGTATTTGTTCATTTTGGGCTAAGATTACATCATAGCCGTCGAGCTTCATAATTCCTGCTCTTCTTTGTGCAACTGAGGCATTGTCAAATTCTTGAGAAGCTAAGGATTCCAATCATTCTAGCGCTTCTTCTGGAGTTTTTGTTTTAAAGGAGCCTCCTACAGCAGCATTTACCAGTGTTCTTGTGTTGGACGTCATCCCTTGGAAAAATATTCTTGCTTTCTCCCATGCTTCAATTCCATGTTGAGGACACTTCCTGAGTAATCCCTTAAATTGCTCCCAAGCCTCGTACAGAGATTCGCTTTATTTTTGTTCAAAAGAGGTGATTTTCGATTTGAGTCTTGCCATCTTTGAAGCTGAGAAAAATCTGGCCAAGAATTTCCTTGCTAAATCATCCCAACTGGTTATGCTTCCTTCAAGTTGAGACTGCAGCCAAGCTTTTGCATCATCCTTCAGTGAGCATGGAAATAGTCTGAGCAAGATAGCGTCACGAGAAACTCCATTCACTTTTAATGTATCATAGTAAAATAGGAAATCATCAAGATGACTATAGGGGTTTTCTGTGCTTCCTCCAACGAACTATTCTTTTTGAATCAGTTGTAGCAACGCCGACTTTAGCTCGAAGTTGTTAGCTTCTCTGGTCGGCCTAACAATGCTCGCCGTCTGTGGAACTCGGGCTGGAGTCATACAATCCCCCAAAGTCCTTGGAGTGAGTTGATTATTTTCTACCATCGGTTCCTCCTTAGGTTCCGTCGAACTTGATGCTTCGTTATCTTCTTTTGCTTTTCTTTCTTTTGCATTCTTTCTAAGTTTCCTTTCTGTCTTTTCTATCTCAGGATCAAACTGCAAAATTCGCGGGTTAAGAGTACCTCGCATAAACTAAGATTGAAAAGATGTGCAGAAAAATAGAAAAAGACAAAACATAAAAGCAGAAAAATAATAATAATAAACAAAGAATGCAGAAAAATAATTATGCAGAAAATTGATGCAGAATTTTAATGCAGAAAAATATTTTTGAAGAATGTTTAAAGTGCAGAAAATTAAAACGTCCAATCTAAAAGTTAATTAGTTACTTCTAATGTTGAAGAATTCGATCCCCGGCAACGGCGCCAAAAACTTATTGCGACTCGGCAAGTGCACCGATCGTAAAAGTAATAAAAGTGTACTGAGTATGAGATCGTTCCCACGAGGATCAAAATTTCAAGCACTAGTTCGCTAATCACGTTTTAGTTGGACAATCAAAAGTTGGATTGGAGAGAATTGTAATTGAAGAACTTAAAAATTAAAGACAAGTAATGAGATGCAATTAAAGAAATTTCAGAATTAAAAAGACAATTAAGAAGATGATGATTGATTAAGAAGGTAAAAACAAGCGTAGTTAGGGTTTCGACTTCCCCCAATCTCCTTAGTATGTTATGAAATAAACAGTCAAAAACATTTTCTTAATATATTGCCAATCAATTCTATCTAAGTTAATTAGGGCTCAATTCCTTGTTACCCTAATTCTATGTGATCTTGAAAAAACTCTAGTTCCCTGATTATTCCCCAAGAAAACATGCATTAAGATCGAGAATTTCAAGATTGCACAATTACCCTATGTCTATCCCTAGATCACAAGGACTATGATAAATTTATCAAGTAAGGGTTCATGCACCAACATCCCTATTGTCATACAATTCCCCAAAATCCTTTTATAACGAGCAAACTCATAGAAAACATTAAAAACAGATAAATTTATTCAATTATAAAAAGAAAAGAATTCAGAGACAATTTAATTCATAAACATAAAGATTCAATTGGGTTCCATCTACCCCTAACTACATAAAAAAACTAGCCTAGCATACTGAATTGAAAAATAATAATAAAGAAAAGAGAACCCCAAGCCTCCATTGGTGTGATGTTGACTTGGTTCCTCAGTGTTCCAGCGCTCCGCAACAGGATTCCTCCTTCAGGTCTCTATGTAATTCTCTGGACTTGTGAATTGGTGTCTTGGTCTGACCCTCAGCTCCCTATTTATAATCTTCAAAGCCACATCCTTCATTGCATCTCCCACCATATCCGTATAAGATTTGTAATTGATTTTATAATTGTTTCCTTTTGCGTTTAATATCTTGTAGATTGGTGACAGATTTTTGACTTTGAATCTTGTTATAATCCTGCTTCAATCTTCCATGAATATCTTTAAATCAGGTTCGATATGCTTCCGCTTTAATTCCGGATATCAAAATCTGGTATCCATTGGAAAATCTCAGTAAATCTTGGTAAATCTTTGCTGTCTGAAACGTACTTGGGCGCTCAAGCGCGCAGTTGGCCGCTTGAGCGTGCTAATGTGATTCAATTTGCTGTTTCTTCCTGCTTGAGCGCGCTCGAGCGTGCTAGTTGGCGCTCGTGCGTGCTCCTCGAGGATAAATTCTTGTCTTCCTGGGCGCTTGAGCGTGGATTTGTGCGCTTTAGCTTCATGAATTGCCCAATTTGGCTGTTTTCCCTGCTATAAAGCGTTCGAGCGTCCTCTGGTGCGCTTGAGCGTGCTCTTCTGGCTCTTAACTTGTAGGATTTTGGCTTCCCTTGGTCCATATTGAGCCGCTACTTCTTTGTCATGATTTCTTTAGCACTTTTAGCACCAATATTTGTGGTTTTACCTTCAAAATGCAAATAACATCAAAAGGTCAGCTCAATTTCCTATCTTATGACTTATATGTTATAAAACCTTGAATTCCATGCATTCTCTTACATAATTCTTGTATAATTTAGCCTCAAAACATGGTAAACCAAAGGTTTATCAGTGACCAAGCATCACAAAATAACCTGTAACAGACCGCTGTGTAAGGGGACATGATGCCCAATCTGAATCACAATAACCATGTAACTTTAAATCTCTAATAGACGGCAGCAAAACACCCTACCCGAGACTCCTTTTTATATAACGTAAAACATGAGTAACTGCATAAAAATGTGTCTCACGTGGCGCCTGCATGAACTGTGATAAAACATGAACCGCATAGCTCAAATCAGGCCTGCAGATGGTCAGGTATATAAGTTTACCAATAAGCCGTTAATAATATTTTGGTTGATCAAATAAGGGTCCATCATCAAGAGCTAACCTATGATTTTGTTCCATGGGAGTAACTGCTGGTTTGCTCCCACTCAAGCCTGCCTCGGCGAGAATGCTTAAAGCGTACTTTCGTTGACACAAGAAAATACCCTCTTGACTCCAGACAACCTCTATTCCAGTTGCATACAACAACTTTAATTTTTCACCTGCATACAAGTTGCAGTATTATTTCCAGCTAAGATTATGTCATCCACATACACCAAAAGAGCTAAGAATACATCACCACGAGAAAAGGAAAACAATGTATAATCAACCTTAGACTGTTCAAATCCATATTCGAGCAATGAAGAATGGAGCTTAGAAAACCAATTGTGTGGTGATTGCTTTAACCCATATAACGACTTTTGAAGACGAAACACCTGATGAGAAGAGCCAGTGGATGGCCGAAAACCTGGAGGAAAATGCATATAGACTCTTCCTCCAAATTTCCATTTAAAAATGCATTGTGTACATCTAACTGATGCACCTCCCATTTCTTCGCAGATGCAACAGCAAGCAATGGTCGCACACTAACCATTTTGGCAATGGGTGCAAATGTTTCACCATAATATTCTCCTTCAACTTGTCTATTTCCTGCAATAACAAGACGAGCCTTGTATCACTCAATCGAACCATCTGCATTATATTTTATTTTGAAAACCCATTTACTGGCAAGACATGTTTTCCTAGAGGAAGGTCTGTGATATGCCATGTTCTGGTTTCCTCAAGTGCTGAGATCTCCTTTCTCATTGCATCAATCCACCTGGATATCCGTCATTGCTTCACGAAAATTTGTTGGCTCATATCCTGCATCAACAGCGGCTAAAAATGCTCGATGTTTAGGAGAAAATTTAGCAAAATCAACATAATTGTGTAAAGGGTACCTTATGTGAGCAGCAATATCAGAATTGGTGACAGGTGCAGAGGTACTAAGTGTTTCAATTCTACAGGCATATTGGTTTAAATATTCTGGTTGCTTCTGAGTCTGAGTAGAACGCACAAGTGGATCTTCTGTTGAAGCAGTAACAATCTCTGTAGATCCTGTAATAGTATCGGGTTCAGCCTCATGTTCTTCCTCAACATTTTCAGCTGGATACGTGGATCTAGGATTTCCCCTCTTTTCAGCAATAGACAACTCATTTTGAGTATCACAAACAGGATCAGAATTGTGTGGGATAACAGCAAGAAGAGTTGGCGAGAAAACTTCATCATCAACATGGTTCCTTGCTGCAAATGGAAATTCATCTTCATGAAAGCGAACATCACGACTCACAAAATGCTCATGAGTTTTTAGATCCATCACACACAACCCCTTTTGATCAGTGTTGTTAAAACGTAGTGTCGAAACGGTTGAAACGTACGATTCTACGTTTTTTGACTAAAAAACGTGTTGAAACGGATGCTGAAACATAAAATGAGTTGAAACGGTGAGTCAACTTGGTAAACTCGGTTGACTCGGTGAGTTTACCGAGTTGACTCAATGGTAAAAAAATGAAATTTGGGCCAGATAGAGTGCGTTCTCAGTTTGGGTCTGTTTTTGTTTTGTCCAATAAAATAAAAAAATCATTATTTTATTTTAAAATATATTATTAATAAAACATCTCTTATTATTTTTCACATACCCGATTGTATTGGGTTGGGTGACTCTCTTCGTTTAGGTCTTTTGTCTGCTCTCACCTAGTCTCCTTCGCAAGCAACGATCTTTAATCAGATTCGGACAAACCAAGAAGACAGCAGCAGCGGCGACTCAAGTAAGGAATCTGATCTATTTTTTTTCTATTCGTCTTTTTTTTCCTATTCTGATCCCGTTTCTCTCCTAGTCTTCTTCCCTCATTTTTTTTGGATCGTTTCTTCCTCGCTTGTTTTTTCCAGTCACTTGTTCTTTATTCTGATCTCGTTTCTCCTAGTGTGCTTCTCTTGTTTTTTCCTAGTCTGCTTTTATTCTGATCTCGTTTCTCCTTTTTTTTTCCTATTCTGCTTCTCGTGTTTGCTCTCTCCTAGTCTCCTTCTCTTGTTTTTTCCTCATTTTAAGGATATTTTTTCCAGTTTACGGTAGCCTATTTTAATTTTATATGATAAATCATAAAAAAATATATATGATTGTTTCTGAATATATGATTGTTTCTGGCCATTTATATTTTATAGAAAAATATTAAAAATAAAATTATATATCTCTGAATATGTGATTATTTATGGCCTCTGTTTTTTTGGTCCTTTAACTTTTGGATGCGCATGAAGATTTTACTTATGCAAAATTATGTGGTCCTGCGTTTAAAAATTATGCACATAAGGCTCTATGAATTCTGTTTGTTTATTTTATTATCTATTGTATATGGCTGAAATTTGAAAACTTAGAACTGAGATCATTTCTTTGAACTTTGATTAAATATAGTTTGAAATCATATGGCTTCGTCAAGTGCTGCTGGTAGTAGTAGCAATCTGGCTTCTATTTGTGTAAGTAACACTACCGTTGGGGGAAAGAAATTGCCTAGAAATGCTCCTGGAAATAGGTTAGATCCTGGATGAAAGCATTCAATTGAAGTTCCAGGAACAAAAAAGCTTAAACGCAAGTATTGTCCCGAAATAATGTCTGCTGGAGTTTTTCATGTGAAGCACCATTTGGCAGGAACATCTAAAGATGTTGAACCATGTATAGCGGTGCTCGATGAAGTAAAAACTAAGATGTTGAATCTTCTTATTGGAGCACAAGGAGGAAAATTATTGAACAAAGATTTAGAGTGCAATATGCAAGAAGTACAAGAGGAAGTTGTTACTGGTGGCTCCGATATTTTCAAGAAAAGTAGAACATCTCATCCTATTACCCTCAATAGCATATTCAAGAAGAACCTGAGGGAGGAGGCATGTCTTGACATTTGTACTGCTATGTATAATAATGAAATTCCTTTCAATTTTGTGAATATCGATGATTTCAAAAAGATGTGTGAATCAATTGCTAAGCATGGACCGGGTTTCAAGCCACCATCTTATCATGAGTGTAGAGTGAAATACTTGAAGCAAAAATATGATATGACAATGGCTGTTGTTGAAACACATAAGGCTCTATGGAAGAAAACTGGATGCACAATAATGACTGATGGATGGACTGATAAAAGAAGAAGAACAATAATCAACTTTTGTGTGCATAGCTTTATGGGAATTGTGTTCCTTAAGTCCATTGATGCTTCTCACATCACCAAAATAGTTGACAAGATTTTTAAGATGATTGATGAAGTGGTACAAGAGATTGATGAAGAAAACGTTGTCCAAGTTGTGACAGATAATGCTGCAAAGTATAAAGCTGCTGGGCCTTTGTTGATGGAGAAAAGAAAGAAAATGTATTGGACACCTTGTGCTGCTCACTACATTGATTTGATGCTAGAAGATTTAGAGAAGAAAATACCCCTTCATAAAGATACAATTTATAAGGGGAAAAAATTACAACTTATATCTATTCAAGAACATCTCTCATTTCAATATTGCACAACTTCACCAGTGACAAAGATTTGATTAGACCCGCCATGACTCACTTTGCCACATCCTATTTGACTTTGAAATGCCTCCATGACCATAAACTTCATGTAAAAAGAATGTTCATGTCAGATGAATGGAATAATAGCAAATATGCAAAGTCAACAGATGGAAAACTTATTGAAAATGTAGTGATGGATAAACACATATGGAAAAGGGTTGAGATTTGTTTGATAGGGGCACTTCCTTTGATTGAAGTGCTTCGGTTAGTTGATTCAGATGATGCAGCCATGGGCACCACTTAGTGGAGGAGGAGACGAAGAAGATGATATTGGCTTAGACTCCAATGACATAGATTAGAGATGTTGATCTCTTTTATAATTTTATTGCCTTGGTGTTTGGATTTTAGTATGTATTATGATGACTACGTTTAAGCTTAATTTTTATTTCCTTAGTGTTTGGACTTATGTATTGGTTTGTGTTGGTTATATGTTGGATATTTTATTTTTTTGGGTATGTAGTAAACTCTTACGTTTCAAGTTTTTATGTTTTTGCTCACCCTTACCGTTTCGGCGTAGACTCTACGTTTTAACAACATTGCTTCTGATCACCAGGGTAGCCAATGAAAATGCAATGGCGTGAACGAGAACTGAATTTATCGTGCGGTTTAGGGAGAACCGTTGCATAACATAAACTTCCAAAAACCCTCAAACATTCAAAATCATGTGAAATACCATGTAACAGCTCATGTGGGGTTCTACCTTCAAGACCCTTAGATGGGGTTTGATTTTTAAGATAGACGGCTGCCAAGATACTTTCTTCCCAAAATTCAACCGGTAAGTTTGCCTGAAACAACAACGCACGATACACATTGGGTATATGTCTATGTTTTTGTTCCACCTTTCCGTCCTGTTCCAGTGTATGAACACAAGAAGTTTGACTTAAATGCCCATATCTGTGTACAACTTGGTTAAATTATTATTTTTGAACTCTGTGCCATTATCAGACCGGATCACCTTAACTGTTTTCTGAAATTGAGTCTGAATCATGAGAATAAATTTCCACAACCTAGAAAAGGTTTCACTTTTATCTGCAAGCATGTATACCCAAATAGCTCTACTGTAATCATCGACAATTGTCAAAAAATAACGAGCACCAGAATAAGATGAAGTTTTTTAATGACCTCATGTTTCGCAGTGAATAAGATCAAAACATGCTTTACTGTTACTAAAACTCAAAGGAAACATACTACAAACTTGTTTGGCTTGATAACAAATAGCACACGCCTTATTTTGATTTTCTTTATTCAAACTACTAGAAAAAGAAAGCAAAGAAACAACTTCATGTGATGCATGTCCTAATCGTCTATGCTATACTTCTACAGTTCCTCTAGTGCGAACAGCAGCAACAGATGGTTGCGCAAAGTGAAACACATCGACCCCTGCTCGATTGTCACCTAATCTAATCGTCTGGCTCAGCATATGGTCCTACAATACACAACCCTTGTCAGAAAAGATCACATTGTTGTTTGTTTCTTTTAATAATTGGGACACAAAAATCAAATTGCACCATAACTGTGGCACATATAAAACATCATGCAAAATAAAAGATGAATCAAGAACCACATTCCCACGTTGCTCTGCTAGAACCATGGTACCATTGGTCAAACTCACGGGCAAAGATGATATAGCCCTCATGTCTTGCATCAAATCTTTTGAACCTGTCATGTGTTGTGAAGCTCCACTGTCTACAAGCCATTGAAAATTAACAGACTTACCCTTGAGTTTGTCATTTGATTGAGATGGATCGACTAAAGCAACCAACTTTGTGACAAGATCAGGTGTAAGCATAGTATAAGCACTACTTTACTGAGGTTCTCCCATGGTTTGAACAGTGCGGGCCTGTTGCGTCTCGCCATTTGTTTGCACAGCTCGAGCTTGTTGGAACGACCCCCTGATGAACGACCCCTGCCCCTTCCATGACTGCCTCCTCTGTTAGAAGGATATCCAATGATTGTCCAACATCTAGAAGGATCATGGTTAGACTTCCCACAATAAGGACATGTGAGTCATTCACGATCTGCTTGTTGTTGTGGTACCATCCTCCGATTGTGTCCTGCCTAAGAAGTTATATTTGTCTGAGCAGCATAGCTGACCACCTCAGCTCTCTCATCCTTCTTTCTTGACATATCCTGATGCGTCTCCTCCTGAACCACAGCTGCATAAGCTTGATTTAAATTGGGAAAGGTTGGGTAGTTGAGAATCTGAGTCCTCAACGCAACAAATTGATTATCATCCAACCCCATAAGGAATTGGTAAACATTTTCCTTTTCAGCTTCATCACTATTATAAATTGCCACGGCACATTTGGCTCCACACGTACAAGAAGGTTGGTTTTTTCTTGCATCTATCTCATTCCAGATAGCCCTCAGACATGTATAATAGGTGCCGACCTTGGTTCCATCTTGCCTAATATTAGCAAGACTGGTGCGTAGTTGATATAGTGGTGGTATAATTGCAACTGAATATCGCTCTTTTAGGTCTTCCCAAAGTTCCTTTGCTTTGTCGAAATACTGAATGTAAGGCTGCAACTGCGGATCAATTGTATTATGGATCCAGCTATTAAGTATCGAATTGCATTGTGTCCAAGAAAGAGACTCATCGACTTCACTTTCTGGATGTTCTTTCACATCACCACTGATAAATCCAAGTTTGTTCTTGGCTTTGAGGGTGTTTTTCATGGCCTTAGCCCACACATCATAATTTGTTTCTCCCTTCAGCACCACGTTGGTCAATAGAATACTTGGTCCATCTGCATTGCTCAGATAGAAGGCTGATCGCTGGTCAGCAATTGCCAGCTTCTTTGCGGTACTGGTCCTTTGAGGGTTTGCATCGGACATGGCTTCGCTCCTCACTTAGAGTTTTTAGCGGAAGTCTTGCTCTGATACCAAGATAAAAGTTGGTATCTACACTCTTGCTCATTTCATTGTGTTGTCCATAAATAGGCTCAGAATTACAAATTACAAATAAATTTGAATTGGCGACAATCTATAGCCAACTCGTAAAATGACAACTCCTAATGAAACGCAATCAGCTCCTATTAAATACAAAACACAACAAAACTCCTATTAGATACAAAACGCAATCAGCTCCTATTAAATACAAAACGCAATCAACTCCTATTACATTAAATTCAAAATTCAAAATTCAAAATTCAAAATTCAAAATTCAAAATTCAAAATTCAAATAACCTCCAATAAGGATCAATGACGGAAATGCAAGGAGGAGTAGCAGTATTCAAGTGTTTGATCGCCAAGAAACAAAGAAAAGAAAAGTGAAATAGTCACCGAGTCTGATAGAAAGGGGGCAAATAAGAAAATTCTAGAGAAAGAGGAGGAATAATAATGAGTAGTGACAAAATACAAAGACGATTTTTACACAACCCACGTTATCATCCTTCTATCAATTTAATTAGTGGCATTTATCTATAACCGACCTAATACAATTGCTAGCGAATCACGAATTTCGTGTAGTGTGTGTTCGAAGGCGATCAAAATGGGAATACTCAAGGGATGGTTTTTTATAGCTACAAATGATTAGGCTATGAGGAATGTGTGATTTAGACAATAGAAGAGGCATAGTGCATTGGCGTGGAACTGGGCATCTCATAAGGATTGATGTTATTGGTTAGACTGGATGTTATCCTATATGGATTGGATTTTTATCTGATTTGTGTGGTGGGTATGAAAGCTGAGAGAGTACGTACGCCAAATTTGTGTAAGAAGAAGCCCTTTAATCTTTGCTAGTATTCCAATTTTTCAAATCATTGCCCAGCTTAATCAAACAATGGACTGGTCCAACTTCAAAGCTTTGTTTCAGGGAAAATACTCCAAGTTCAAAGCTTTGATTTTCAATTACTCCAATTCAATGATGGAAACATCAAATTAGCAAACATATTTTGACGAGGGTGAGATGTGATTCAATCAATTGACAAATGCAACAAAGAACACGGTTAACTCTTGGTCACTTGCGGCAAGTGCTCACTAGGATGAAGATTAAGTATAGAAAAAATCAATATGCCATTTCACATTACATAACTCCTTTTTTTTTTGTTACAGGACATTACGTAACTCCTTTATTTACAATTATATAAGCTTAACTTATGAAAAGGTTTCAATTAATAATGTTGGAAAAAAAAAATCCGTTGAGGAAAGTGAACGGAATGGGGACCTGTCCTTTGTGCTCCACATGGTTGGTCGACTGGTAGAAACCTTTTGGAATAATCTGGACAAAAAACATTAGATGTACAAAAGAGATAAAATTTGTTCCTCACGTTCACTTTTTTTTTTTTAATTATTTTATATATTACGTAAGGTATTATTTCCTCACCCACTTGATAAAGGAAGCAAAGAATAAATCATAACATCAATGTTACGGGGTTGTTCTTTCTGCATATTGTTTAGTAGATGCCATATGTTAGAAGCAAAATTCTGTTTCAGATTCTTAATATAATGATCATAATCATATAATAACTATGGGATTATCATTTCTGTTTCAGTGGCACAAAAAAAATTTCTACCACTGATACATAAAAAGAAACGAATCCCATCATTGTTTTCTCTCTCATTCCTCTATGCTTTCTCTTTTATTGTTTTATGTCTCAGCAGAAAACAAAATTCTACCACCGAAGCAGAAATAATAATCCCAATAACTATCAATTCCAACATTTTTTTCTCATCTTTAATTTCAGTTGATTTAACTATAAATAATTAAAATCTTTTCATAAGATTTTCATTATGTTAAATTACATATAAAACGATTTATTTTGAAATAGGAAACAACTCTCATATATTATTTAACATAATCATATTACATAAAAGAATCTTAACTATTTATAGACAAACCAATGATTATCTTTTTATCATCCCCTGATTCCTATCAGGATATTTTTTTTCTCTTATCTCGTCACGCTAATTGTCTATAAATGATTAATCCGTATGTTAAATTACACGAGCTTGGCTATGTACGCCAATAAGCCTAGACCGAATAGAGGGAAATATGGATAGAATATGCCAAGACAAGATGCTTGTTCAGTCTGCAGGAACGATGCTCACGGGGTTGTATGCAATTCAAGGACCCATAAATCCCACCATTTCTTACCCCTACAATGGCCTTCCATGGCTTGAGATTTATTCATCATTAGCCACCCTCAACAGCTAGATGAAGTACTATATGAGAACCAAACTTTAAATATCAACACCATCAAGCATGTAGATCATAGTTTTATCCGACTCGAATCTAACTACTCGAGTAATTTATAAACTGATAATAAACAAAAAAATAAAACTATAAATATCAACAACGAGGCATTCCATTTACTTAAACTAAAATTAACTCTAGATAAGGATGATATAAGCTGCACTTCAACTCAAAATCTTAAAGTGTTGGGTGAGAGTCTTTTAAAGATTTATATTATTCTCTAAGCACGTGGATATTGCACAAGCCCAATTTGGTTTACCTTTCGTGCTTTTTATTTTAATTGCACCTTAAAGTAGGAGCAATGAAAATCGAACTTGTGACCTTGTAGTCACTCAAACCTCTGATACCATGTAGAGAATCACTTCAACCCAAAATCTTAAAGTGTTGAAGGAGGACATTTTGAATGATTTATATTATTCTCTAATAACCCTTACTTAAACTTATTGGAAATTTCCCAAAGACAAAATTTTATTCTGAGCTCAACAATTTAAACCAAAATAGCACCGTGTTACCAATTCAAACACAATTGGAAATCTGGCGAAGTCTAAAACAAGCAAAGCATAAAAGACTCGGGAAGAAATAAAATAAAGGACACCAAATAACACTCACAACACAAACAGGAACAACAACATAACAAGAACATAACAATTAATCAAATCTCAAGCACTACGCTGCAACTCAACGACCTTTTTCCAGGAATCACGCGTGGAGATCTCATTCCACCACCTAGACACGTTCTTCCTTGAAGAAGTGAAGAGAGGAGCAACTCTATCAGTAGCAGTGACCAAGTAATGAGTGTTTGGAAGATGTGAAAGGTCAGCGAGAGAGAATTCATCACCAGCCAAGAAACGACACTCCCCAAGCCTCTTATCGTAGATATCGAGAACTTTTGAGAGCTTGTCTTCGCTCTGCTTTATCACACCCTCGTCTTGCTTAATCTTCATTCGTGGAGCAAACGCAAGCTGAAACACCAGAGTTGAAGTTGGTGGGTTGAAACTCTGTCCTTCTGCCTCCAACCATTGATCTATAGAAGCCTTTTCCAATGGGTTTGTTCCGTACAGTCCCTTGTTCCCTTTCTCCCCATATTTCTCACAAACGTAACGGCATATTGCTCTCGATTCTGATTTTTTTTTTTTACCAAAATTATAAAACTTTTATGGGAAATTTAGAAAATATGTCAGAGGGTTGTGGAACTTACCGAAGAGGGAAATGTTGTCATCCTGAAATGCTGGTACTTGGCCAAAGGGCTGGAAGAGCAATAGGACATGACATCAAAGAGAGAACAAAAAAATGGTTAATTAAAGTGAAGTGATATATATATATATATAAATAAAAATGAAGAAAAATACCTGAATCTTGAGGAAATCAGGTTTTTTGTGTTCCCCTTTGGACATGTTAACAGGAATGAGTTGGAATTGAATGTCTTTCTCGACGAGACAAGCCAACACCCTTGACACTGCGGTAGACATGGCTGGTCCGTACACTTGAACTGTTGGGGTCGCCATTTCAAACTCTCTCTCTCTCTCTTTCTCTGCCCTTAACTTTGTTGTGGTAGGTTTTTTCTTTTGTATGATACTTATATATTTATTTGTATGTCTGTCTTGCTGTTCTCTTCTCCACCGTAAGAAAGCAAAAACGGTTCGTTCCGTTTGCTTTGTTCTGATTCCTATATCATTAAAAGAGAAAAACTGAAAAAGGAAAACTCATGGTTGATTTGATTGGGCCCAACCCCATCCATAAGGATAAAATAGTGTACTGTTTACCGGACTTAGAGTAGTTTTTACTTTGGGAAAAATTAGTGTTATGCAACATAAGATTTTTTTGATGTGACGTATAAGGTATGATAGTATAAGTTTATATTATACGTTATGATATTTTCAGTTGTTTGGTGTGACCATCGTATAGTATAAGCTTATACAACATAATCTCTTAATACATCAAAACGATGTATAACTTAATTCGGCCTAAAGATGAGGGATAAGGCCTGATAAAATATTGATGTATTAACATCGTTGACTAATGTAATTCTCAAAAATTAATATACTATTTTAATATTAATCTATTAAAATAAAAATTAATTTGTCAATATATTAATTTTTAAAATATTGAATATTTTTATTTTTATAAAAATTAATTTATATTTTGGACACACTGATCAATAAATTTTTTATAAAAATTAATATCATATGACATTTTTTGAAGAATTATATAAATTCTTTATTAAAGAATATTTTTATTAAAAATATTTATTTTTATCATATATAGTATTATATAGTGCATTATCAAATACTAGATGATATTATCTTATACAATATATTATTTTATACAATACCTGCCAAACGCTAGATAGTATTAAAATTCAATCAGATCTTATACAATCAGATCTTATACTATCAGGTCTTATACTATCAGACCTTATCCTATACTATGCACCAAACATGCCCTAAGAGTAGTTTATCTCTTATAGATCCATCGAAAAACTGTGATATTCTTTTTTCTTTTTCTTTTTTCTCTATTTTTTAGATAGTAGCCCCACCACATGTGTCTTTATAACATAAGATATCATCTCTCATGTAACATGAGATTAAATGAATCTTTTTACTTTTTACCAATATTGTGGAAACCGGATAGTAATTGTTATATGGGAAAAATGTCTGTCTTTTTAAATGACATAATTTATATCATTTCACTCTTATAAAGAAATAAGATCTACATCTTTTTTTTTATCCACTCTCTCTCCTCCATAATTTATCTCTTTTTTTCAATTAAAATGACATAACTTTACATCTTTAAAATAACACACGTTTTCCCTTGTTATCTATTCGTTACTCCTGTGCGGTATGCATTCAAGTTAACAGCTTCAATCATTAAATCGGTTTGGTTTCGTACCAGTTAAACCAAATTTGCATGCAGGTTATTGATTCAATACTAATTCAAATGCTCATACAATTTAATGACTGAACCGAATTGGTTAAGAGTATAGTCTATGGGTGAACCGGATAAATCATCCTTTCCAATTCGATTTTCACACATTGACTTTAACTATTTTTTTTTTACCTAAAAAAAAGAAGTTATCACGGCCTTTCTAAGGCTAATACATTATGCATGGGACAATTTTGTTCTGTTTTTGTTAAAAAGTATTATTGCCTTGAGGGGCTGTTTGGTAAGAGTTTTTCTTATAGATACTCAGCCAAGCCAGGTTGGTATTTCAAGTTGTCCATATCTAGTACAAGTTTTCAAAAAATTTAACCAGGGGACTGATTTACCCAGCATTTGTCATTTGTGTGTAAATCGTGATGAAAAACACTATTTAGAAATAGCACTTGGGAGGTGGAATTCTGGAATGATCGGCTAAATGAAAAAAGGACCGCGAACATGATGACGAAAATGACCCTCCATTTGTGAAAGAAAGTGAGACCCTCCATTTGTGGAAAGAATTTGCAAGCACTGGTCTCGTCCTTTCAGTTGAAAAAATTCTATACATGGTTGGTTGAGCCAATTAGTTAGTGCAAATGTTCTATTTCTGGTTGTTCATTATTTAACATGTCCTATTTTCACTTCTGGACCAGGTGAAGGTGATGGAGTGGTTGGGATGAAAGGTGAAGATGATGAGAGAATGGCGGTGAAACCGTGATCGGTCTGCCATAGCAAAGAAGGTGAGAGCAGAAAACGTGAGTAGCAAAATTTCAACCCAGCAAAGGGTTACTTTTTAGATTCAAAAATTAAAAGGGTTATTTTTGTAATTTCAGTCAATTTTCCCAGCAATATTTTAGCCTCGACCAAACATAGACTCAAGAAATTTAATCTAATTTTTCTGGTAATATTTCGACCTACCAAACAACTTTTTTTTTTTTATAGCCAACAGGGCCAGAGCCCAAAAAATAAAAACAAAGACAGTACACCAAAATAGAAACAGAAGCTATTGGATCACCAGAGCTCGCGGTCTTCCCACTCCAGTAAGATCAGCCAGATAAATAACGTGAATGCCAGGTGGTGGTTCTTCACAAATAATATATTACACATCCTCATCATGCTCAAAGATAAAATTTTCCATCCAATCCGCACAAGCATTTCCTTCCCTGAACGTGTGGTTGAAACTAACCAACCAATCTTTCTAAATCCATGCTCGTATCCGAGAAATCAACTGACTCTCACGAGCTGCTGCACCCTGGGAGGTGAGCACAATGATAACACAAGTTGAATCACTTTCAATTATAACATTACAGTGACCAGAATTCCAAGCTAATTCCAGCCTGCGAAGCACACCCCATAACTCTGCTTTAAAAGAACTACAAATCCCAAGTCTATAAGCAAATTCACCCAGCCATCTCCCTTGAGAATCTCTCATAACCCCACCACAAACACCTATGCCAGGAGCTACACGAGCAGCACCGTCTGTGTTAACCTTAACAAATCCAAAGAAGGAAATTGCCAAGAAATGTCAACATACATTTTTCTGCGAACAGCTGAATGCTCATTTCCTCTACCCACAACCATCTCAACATTATGAACAAGCTTGTGTTTTAATCTCCATCCACAATCCATCTATTCCTGGACTTCTGAAACCAAATTATTTCTTCCTGTAGCAACGTCTCATTTAAACTCTTCTAGATGTTTTCTTCTATTTGCTGCAATTCCATATTATCCAACAAAATCCTGCAAGCTTGAATTTCAGCAAGCTAATGAGAGAGGGATGACTTCCTACGAAAAATTTCTCCAAAAACATCCTTATTCCAACAAATCGGATCATGAACAAATTCCTTAAGCATTATATTAACTTCTGTCTCCTTATTCCACCTATCATTCATAAGATCTCCAAAGCTGGGGTGCTCCATCCAAAAGGCTAAAAACCTAAAAGGTTTAACATGCCAGTGATTACTAGGAATATGGTGAAAGAGTGAGCTTTTCTACCAAACTCACTCTTTCACCATATTCCTAATAATTATATTATATTTTTCTGATAAAAAAAAAATTCTCCTCTATCAAACGTCCCCTAATTGTCAGTTATCGCTTAATCACTAATAACTCCTATATGTGTACTTTTCACCTTTAAAAGTCCAATAGAATCTAATCAATTATCACCTATATTATTTGTTTTAAAAAATAACATATTGGTATAAAAAAATTTGTGAAGAATCTGTACTTAATCGGCAGCAATATATTATTCAAAGAATCTTAAGTCTATTACATTAGAAATAAATTAAAATTAAATTCTATAACAATGAGCGTGAATGTCTATGCTAAATTAAAGCTTACATACAAGCACAAGCAGAGTTGGGAATATATAACTAGGACCACTTCTTTTCGGATTTGAAACTAGAATTTAATAGAAAGTGCGAGGGGCCTGTTTTATTGACGAATATGAACTTCGTTATGTAGTTTCGTGCACATGCGTTATATTTATGGTAATATTCGGTTACCCGGAGCCAATGTAGTAACAGATTAAAGGGTGCGGGAAACGGTGGAATTACAGCTCCACTCTGAATTTTAGTTCAAATAAACCTTTAACAACTAAATCATCTGTCATTTTATTTTAGTGATGAAAGATCAGCAAGAAATGTGATAGCAATTGCATAGCGTGTTAAATGATTCTTCTCATATAATATATTCACATAGAATCTAATAATCAGCTATTTAAAACCTTCTTTATCCAATCTTTATATCAAAATTTCATTTGGTCTTCTGTTTTATTATTTATCATTAGTGAGTCGCAGTTGCAGGGTTCCTTTGTCCTGTTTTGCAATATTTGGGCATGGGAAAAACCCAAAGAGAACTTACCCTTAACTACCATCACTGTTTTTTGCTGTTCATTCCTTCCTTACATAATATTTTCTATTCCTTCCTTAAATAGCATCATTTTTTTTGCCCAACAATTTAATATAAATTAGATCATGACAATTTTGCGCTTTTAATTCACACTCTAGTTCTTCAATTAATCATATGACAATATATGAATATATGAACCCCACTTTAATTATGAACAGCTCATTTTCTAAAGCTTCAAAGGATCATTTTCCCATCATGTGTCACTTTACTACTAAGTGTCCTGTTTACAAGCATGTTATAAATCTCAACTTCACAAGTTAGAGGCACAAGGTTCTAGTCACGAAACTTGAGAAATTTCACATATTTTCATGTGCTTTCAGCCTCTCACCACATTGCCGTCAATGAATATTCTTTCTCATGCATTCAACCTTCCTCTTCCCCTTCCCTGTAACCTGTTCGAAGATAATTTAAGTACTGAGATGGGAACAAAATAGCATTTTAGAAGCTTAAAGATGGCAATGGTAACTGAAGTTAGTCTAGACTCCTCCCCATACCATCTTAGTAATATGCTGCAGAAACATTAGAATTTCTGAGAAATCAGGTCTTAAAGATGGATCTTGGTGCCAGCACTGGTGAAGCAATTCCACTATCTTTGGATGAGTATCTCTTGGAACTTCAGGCCTCAAATCCTGCAATTCATATGCCCAATTCTTATTCTTTTTCACTGAATTTTTTTTTTTTGGTGGCTTGAGTTACCGTGGAGATTACAAATTAGTAACATTTTCTTATCTTGCAAATCCAGTGACAGCTGTTTGTCATCCTTGAATTCTCTTTAGTGATACCCTTCATTCAAAACACTAGTGTCATTCCAATGACACTGCCAATTTTGTAGCAACAGATAGTTTCCAAAATTAAACCACAAACTCTCATGGCATGCAAAATAAGTTTGACCAACCCCACCCATCCAGGCACATGAAGAGAACAATAGATGATAGTGCAAAGAATAATTGCAAAGTGAATACCTTCTGTACCACTCCAATTGCTGCTTGCAATGGGGACAAATGTTCATAAGGAAGCTGGGATTCAATCATAAAACATAGATGATAGGCTGAAGTCAGAACAAACTTAATATTAATTGACTGAAAGCAAAATTCTGTATTTTACCACTGAAACAAGTCACTTATAAAGCAACACAAAAAACAAGTCACTTATAAATCTTCTCTGTTATTTTATCTTCACAGTTAAAGTTATAGTTACTTTAAAACCACTGAAACTATCATTTTTTTAACTCTTCTCCATGCCAAATTCTGTATTTTACCCATTAACCCTCTCTTGATTGTTGCACAGCTATAATTGGAAGATAGAATTGAATCTAGGTGAATTTCAACATGAGAGAGATATGGACTTGATGGAATCAACATTTGCTGGAAACTTCGGCTTAGTACTTGCTTCGGTTTCAGGAATTAATCCAACTAGTGCCATAGAATCTATATATAAATTAAATGTATTGGAAGGGTACTTTGCAAGACTTTGTCAAGGGCCTTCCCATTTAAACCACAAAAGTAGTGCAATTCAAAAGCTAAGCTCTATTTTTTTTTTTTGGTACATAAAGCTAAGCTCTATTAGTTCAGTCAAAGTTGAACTAAATTTCGGTTTTAGAGGGTTTAAAAATTATAGCATAGGTGATACAAAATTAGAGGGTTTTTAGTTACAATTTGGAATTTAGAGGAAAAAGGGTAAATCAGTTCTCTTCTAGATGAGAAGGGAGAGGGTTGCCTCTTGGCTCTTGGATGTAATTTAGAGAAAATTAAAATGGGTAGAAATGCAGAGAGCATTACCTTTCCTGTGAGCAGCTCCCAAAGTATAATCCCGAAGCTAAAAACATCTGCTTTGTGATTATATGGCTTATGTTCAATAACCTTCCAAACGTCAAGGGAATCACAGGTTATGACCAATTCAATGTAAGGCAAATTGGGGCTGTTCATAAAATTAAATAGAAGTAATTAACACAAGGGATATATTCATAATTATACACATACCTCAGGAGCCATCCACCTGTAAGTTCCAGTTTCTGCAGTCATGATACCAGATTGATCTTGCAATCTGGCTACACCAAAATCAGCAACCTTAACTACCTGCTGGATAAGTTTTTGAAATAGAAGCACATTGGCATAAGTTCACACAAACCATCAGATAATGTGTGCCTAAGAACTTTGTGAACCCGTATTTAAAATGGTAAATAGAAGATAACACAGCAAAAAGCATGTGAAATTTTTTAAAGTTTATCATGAGCATTTGGGTGATTTGTCATCACATCTTGACTCAAAACCTAAAGGCATAGAGTTTATTGTCCTTTTCACTTATAAATAACCCACACTTAGTTCATTCCTAACTAATGTTGGACTTTAGTGCTCGCACATTTCGAACAAAGATTTGTACCATGTCTTCACCTTAAGATTTTCACTTTATTTCTTCATATTGTTCAAGGGGGTAATTAAATAAAAAAAGTTCTTAATTTCTGAATTCTATCAACCTGAGCTGTACAATTTTTATTTTTAAAGAACTTAACACTTTTTATGGTATAACTAAACACTTATTTAACAAGTTAAACTGAGGATGCTTAATTGATAATTATACTGTATTAATTCCTAAAAACTAAAGCAAGCCTATTTTGTTTTCCGGTTCAATCAATCTAAAATTGTGAAGACTTCTAATTGATTTGAACCACCAATTAACTTGAGCTTACATGTATTATAAGATAATGTGGCTAACCAGTTTTGCAGAGTGGTTAACAGTGCCATTGTATGATTTGACAACATTAACTAAGAAGCAACAGCCAGTAAAATCGTGCGTAAATAACACAGTGTAATCTTCACTTACCCCACTGTCATCTATCAAAAGATTAGCAGCTTTGAGGTCTCTATGTATAATATTGTTCTGATGCAAGTAATTCATTCCTTCGGAAACATCAATGGCTACTTTGAGCAAAGATGGAAGAGTAAGGACGACCTTCTGTATATGCAGAAAGTCATACATACTTCCACCAGACATATATTCTGAGGAAAAACAAACTATGCATTGAAATTGACAATACTATAACCATTACATTGACCTTGCTGTCAGTAAACAAAATATAAAACACAACATCAACTACATCCAGAAAGGCAAATTTTACCTGTGACAAGATAAAGGTTTGGTTTTGTGCAGGCACCAATAAATTTGATAACATTCTGGTGCTGAATTTTACTGCAAGAACTCAATTAAAAAATTCAATGAATAGGATGCAGATCATAGATTTTAAAAGATTATTGATGCATCCTCTCTTCCCTTTCTCTCAGTCTGTTTATAACCTAGGATAGGAAGCATTTAGATAATGGATTTAATATGGAGCATAAACATTTGTAAATCTAATTTTTTGATAAGCACCTATATTATTTCATTTTTATTATTAATATATTTAAGCAGATAAAGCGAAAGAGCTAGTTTTCATATCCAGTTAAAGATAAGATTCAGATCATCTTCTTTAAATATGATAGTAATTCAAGGCAAATGACCAAGTTGGATGGGAAGTTAGGAATGATGAATGGACGTTGTCAGTGAACAAACCTCAGGATATAGACTTCCTGAGAAAACTCTCTCTGTATATCTTCATTCAGATTACTATCCTTAAGGACTTTGATAGCCACATCTTGATTACAGTAAGTGCCTTTATACCTGTGTCAATCAAGCTGTAGCTCAACATGTATTGACTCACTAACATATCAAGTAGATAAAGTGATATTACTTACAAATCACTGACAGATCCAGATGCAATTTGCTTTTCAAATCTTAAACAGCTTGCATCAATTTCCCAGTCAAAATTTCCACTAATGGGCATATTTACATGGTTAGAGATACAGTTGATCCCAGTTTGCTGTAGCTTCTCCATAGGATGACTGCCACTTTCATTTAACCATGGCTGCTTCTGTATTTCAATCCAAAACACAAATAAATAATGATGTAGTAAAAGCTAGGAGAAGACTGTTAGAGAAATATAATATAAAATCATTAATGTAACCTTCATCTAATAGTTTAAGTTGTTGGATTAAGTTGGTTCTTTACATAGTAATAGAGTCTTTGACCTTCACCTAATAACTTAATATTTTGTGTTGAGTTGGTTCTTTACAAAGGCTTATAAGCAAGCCTTGATTAGTAACTTCCTAATATTTAAAGATCATATTAATCTGCACATTGTAAACTTCATGTTGATGTATATTACTCTACTAACTCAGTTCAATCTTCGTGAAAGTAAGAACTATTAAACTTCCAATATGCTAACATATTCAAAATCGATCTTTCTTTTTAACAAAGGACAATTGAAATACTACCATAATGAGTACAAATAGAGATTGATGCCTTTGGGGAGTGGGAACGCCATTTCTTGATGATAAGTAAAATTAAATCCGAAAACATATCCAGGGAACTTGTTGAAATAAAAAATGGTTTTTTTTTTTAATTGATTACATACTAATTTACACTTATAGGGCTTACACTAATTAATAGGAAATAAAAACAGAAAGATTCTAATCCTAATTTCTTACACTCCCCCTCAAGTTGGGAGGTAAATCATTCCTAACTTACCAATCGGGTCTTCAAAGGATGGTCGATATAGGCCCTTAGTAAGGATATATGCACTATGCTCTTTGGTAGGAATATACATCATACACACACTTCCCTCATCTAATTTTTCTTTGATAAAATGGCGATCAACCTCCACATGTTTTGTTCTGTCATGATGAACCGGATTTTGAGCAATACTGAAAGCAACCTTATTATCATAATACACTCTGACAAGTAGGGAAAAAGAGATCTTCAATTCCTCAAGGAGTCTTCTTAACAAAATTCCTTCACAAATACCAAGGGCTAGAGGCCGAAATTCTGCTTCTGCACTGCTCTGGGCAACAACTGTTTGTTTCTTACTTCTCCAGGTTACAAGATTTTCCGAGACATAGGTACAATATCCTGAAGTGGATCTTCGGTCCAATGCAGAGCCACCCTAATCTGTATCTGTATATATTTCAATCATCTTCTTGTGTCCCCTTTTAAAGAACAATCCTCGACCATGGGTGTTTTTGAGGTACTAGAGGATTCTATAAACTGCACTCAGGTGTATTTCCTTGGGAGAATGCATGAATTGACTAACTATGCTGACTGCAAATGCAATATCAGGTCGAGCGTGAGATAAGTAGATCAACTTCCCCACCAACCTCTGGTACTGCTCTCTGTCAACTTCTTCCCAATCTTCGTTTCCCAATTTAATATCGGGTTCAACTGGAGTCTTTACTGGCTTGCACCCAAGCATTTCTGTCTCTTGTAACAGGTCTAGAATATATTTCTTCTGAGTTAAGGAAATTTCTGCCTTACTACGAGCAACCTCCATGCCAAGGAAATATTTGAGAGATCCAAGATCCTTCAGTTCAAACTGGTCAACTAAACACTTCTTCAAAGAGCTTATCTCCTCACAATCATTACCTGTGACAATTATGTCATTCACATAAACAATGACAATAGCAATTTTACCACCGTCAGAGTGTTTAAAAAATAAAGTGTGATCAGTCTGAGCTTGGAGGAATCATTCTCCCCTGAAAACTTGAGTAAATTTCTCAAAACACTCTCTAGGGGATTGTTTAAGCCTATAGAGAGACTTCTTCAACTTCTATACTGAACCGTCTCCATTTTCAAAACCAGGCAGTGGATCCATATAAACTTCTTCATGCAAATCCCATTCAAGAAGGCACTCTTTACATCTAATTGTAGCAAAGGCTAATCAAGGTTGGCAGCAAATGATAGTAGAACTCGGATATTGTTAAGCTTGGCAACTGGGGCAAATGTCTCATGATAATTTATCTTATGAATCTGAGTGAATCCCTTAGCAACCAATCTGACCTTATACTTGTTGATGTTGTTATCTGCATTGAATTTTATTATGAACACCCACCGGAAACCTACTGTTTTCTTTCCCCTGGGTAATGCTATAGACTCCCAAGTTCTATTTTTTTAAGTGCATCCATTTCTTCAAAGAACTTCCAATTTGATCATCAAGGGCTTTTTGGATATTTTTTGGAATCTTTATACTATCCAAGACTGTGTTGAAGGCACGAAAACCTGGAGATAATCTATCATAAGAGACGCATCGAGAGATGAGATGTGAAGTACAAGACCTGGTTCCTTTCCTGAGAGCAATTGGCAAATGCAAATCCTCATAGGCATGTTGGGTTGAATCCGGATCGGTGGAACTAGAAGTCGAAGTGGAATCCTAGCAATGCAAAGCGTCTGGATTGTTTACATTTTGAGGAGGTTGTCTCCAACTATAAACCAACAATTATTTCTACTGATTATTCTCTCCGCCTTTTTCCAACTTCTCATCTCTCTCTGTTTCCAATTGTGGTGAGTTCTGGGGTGGAGGTAAGGATAAAGGAAGAGGTAACATTGGGGGAAGAGGTGACACTGAGGGTTCCCAAGACCGGTCTTCATTTAGAAGCGCCCCCTAAAAAGAAGACTGAGAAAAAAAGATTGACTCCCAAAGAAAGTGACATTCATGGGGACAAAAACCTTTCAGAGAGATGGAGAATAACATTTATATCCATTTTGAGTGGGAGAATATTCAATGAAGACACATTTGTGAGATTTAGGATCAAGTTTGGATCGTTGGTGTGATGGAACATGGACAAACACAACACATCCGAATAATTTTGGAGGAAGAGAAGATATAGAACTAAGAGATGGATAGTTCTTTAAAAGACATGATAATGGAGACTGAAACTGAAGAACACATGAAGACATTCGGTTGATAAGGTAGGTGGCAGTTAGGACGGCTAACCCCTACAAATATTTAGGGACAATCATGGTGAACATAAGAGCACAAGCAACTTCAAGAATGTGCCTATTCTTTCTCTCTGCTACCCCATTATGTTGAAGAGTATCGAGACATTAACTCTAGTGGAGGATGCCTTGATGAGACAAGTATTCACCAAGGATAGAATTGAAATACTCTTTACCATTATATGTTCGAAGAATTTTTATGGAGGTGCCAAATTGGTTTTGAACCATGGCATAAAGATTTTGGAAAACTTGGACAGTATCAGACTTTTCTTTGAAAAGATAGACCTAACACACTCGAGAATGGTCATCAATGAATGTTACACCACCATCTCAAGCTAGAAATATTTTTTACACGAGATGGACCCCATATATGTAACATCCCGGTGGCGGACGAGAGCGGGAAGTGTTCGCTGGTGCAAAGAGACGCGGATAAGGAGCGGCTCCTGGCAGGCTTCCGGCCGAGGGGTACATGAATGAATCGAATACACACCCGAAAGAGATGGATTCCAGAGACTGCGCTGGTATGGGACGGTACTGTTGGGGATAGGTTATAAGAATTAATTGGTACTACTTATACTAATAAGATGCATCTACTTTTCGGTAGCCCGGAACGGAAGAACTCCATAGTTAAGCGTGCTTAACTTGTAGAAACTTTGGGATGGGTGACCTCTAAGGAAGTTTTCCCAGGAAGTGTGTGAATGAGGACAAAGCATGCTGAAAAGTCTCGTGTTAGTTTGTGGAGACAGTCATTGATTCTTGAAGCGGCCGGGCGTTACAATATATCACTGTGAACATGAGTAAAAGGGGAGGATTCTTTATATTTTCTCATAGGATAGGATACGTGAGAGTGTTTTGCTAACTAACAGTGTTTTGCTAACTAGAAAAGACATTGAATTTTTTATTAATAAAGAGACTTGGTAACAATTTTTGAAGGTAATTGAGATTTGGGTGTCCTAACCTACGATGCCATAACATGACATTATCACCACTATTGGAAACAAAGAAAGGATCATTTTCAACAAAAGTAGCTTGATTCTCCACACGATCAGATCCCTAAAAAATGTAAAGTCCTCATTCTTCTTTAACACTGCCAATTATCCTCTCTGATTCTTGTTCCTGAAAAACACAACCATGCACCGAAAATTTTGTAACACAACTAAGCTCTATTGTCAGCTTACTAACGGAAATGAGATTGCATGCTAAATTAGGAACATGTAGGACATAATTTAACACAATCTTCTCGGAGAGTTTAATTGACCCTTTTCCTGCAACTTGAGAAAAACTTCCATATGCTATTTTCACTCGAGAATTCCCATAGCATGGATTATAGGAACAAAAAAATATTGGATTACCTGTCATGTGATCGGAGGCCCCAGAATCAAGTATCCAACAAATACTACCATCAACATGAAACGCAGTACATTGTTTAACCACAAGGCTAGATGGCACACTAGGTTGAGGACTCATAGATGTCGTTGTAGAGCTGGTGAAGGAAGAAATCATGCAAGCTTCCCTTTGCACCTTGGCAAGGTCACCTGCTGGAACAACAGTAGGTGGTTGGTAGTTACTACCACACTTGAAACTAGAAGAGTATCCATCCATAAACTGAATGGTCCCCTTGGTTTTGATTGTTCCAACACCAGCATTCACATCTTTGGTTATAACATCTCCATGATAAATCAGACAGTCTGCCATATGTTTTCTATGGCAAGGATCACACTTGGCCATCATCAATATGAGAGAAGACAAGGTTACCCAGAAAAATAAATGTTTCCAATCATCGATTTGAACCCTAGAACAGATAGAGGAGAAGAAGACGAACCGAACAACACCAGTACGGAAGAGAGGTTTGGCCGGAAAAGTAAATGTTTCCAATTATAGATTAGCTCGTTCTGATTCCGATGGTATAAGTTTTGGCCGGAAAAGTCGCCCGAAATATTTTCGTGCAACAGCTGACGACGGTGAATGACTGGGATTCGACTGGTTTTGGCCTTCTAGAATGACTGGTCCCTTTACTTGGTTGTTGAGGCTTTGTAGGAAGAGAGGACAACTTTAAGCCTTTAAAGTGGCTGGACTTAGAGTTTTCTAGCGATGTGCTGCCAGTTTGATGGTGGTTGTCGTGGCTGAGCTTTCTCAGGACCAACCTGCTCTTGATACCATGTTGAAATATAAAAAATGGTTTTTTTTTTTTTAAATTTATTACACAATGATTTACACTAGTAGGGGTATATATACAAGAGTAAATGAGGAAAAATGGGTAAGAATGACTCAACAATGAGTCATCAGCCCTATCCTATCTAATCACTAATTAATAGGAAATAAAAGCGAAAAGATTCTAATCCTAATTTCCCACAGTAGTAAAGGTGTAACAAGAAGCATATAAATGGCATACCTCGAATTTCTGAATTTTCTTTGTCAGAACATGTTTTAGCTTCTCAGTGTCCTATAAATTTCAAACATGGACATTAATCAAGTAACTTGTAGCAAAGAAATTAGAGACAAAAGTAGAGTTAAATAGTACATCCCTGCCTTTTTTAATATAAAAAGTGTCTATAGTACATCATACTGAAGTCTAGGGGCTAGTAGGCTGCCAAACTTATATTGAGTTTGTTTCAAAACAAGTTCTTAAGTTGCTAACAATATACACTGATGGGCCTTCAATAAAGTAACCAAGCCCATTAATTAGGAATTAGTATATATAGAAGTTTAGGGTGATGTTTCTGTTATGCATGTATTCAATTCTGATTTAGTGGGGAAATTGAGAGACTTCTAGGGAACTCTTGAGCCTAGGTATTTGGTTTGAGGGGGAGTTGAGGTTTCTTGGGGTTTATTTTCTGCATATTAGTGTATGTAAAAGAGGTATGGCCTCCATTATCTCTATAATTTCAGTGTTATTTTTCTGGTTTCATCAATTTGGTATCAGAGCATTTCCGGTCTAGGGAGTGCTTTTGGTCCAGATCTACAAAAAAAAATAAAAAAAAATAAAATGGAAAACAACAGAATGGAGAGGAGCTTGGATCGATTAGAAACAAGCATGGATCGAGTGGAAGAAGGAATGGATCGAGTTGAAGATGCTGTTCATCAACTTCAGAAAACAATGTGGAAATTAATAGAGCGCATGGATCCTTGTTTTGCAGAAGAAAAAAAGAAAGAACTACATGAAGAACAACTGCAAACAGAGAAGGAAAATTGCAACTCAAATCCAAACAGAAAAACGGAAGAAATTCAAAAGAAATCAACAACCAAATTAGAGATGGAGCAAATCAAAGAAGGAGAAGAGCGAAACGAAATAGACAACGATAGTAGGACTGCAGCCCAGACTTCGCGCAGTGGTGCGATAGAAGAGACGTACGACGGCGAGCGGCAGGGAGTAGGATTCCGACGGCATACGTGGGAGAAGGCAGACGAGGTTGGAAGCAGACATATAGGAAGACCGTTTGCTACAACAACCCAAGCAGAGAGGCTCAAAGAAACGGAAGAAGAAAAATGTAAAGAAGAAGATACAAAAAAATTTGAAGAAGGCTACGAAGAAGACGATGAAATCAGAGAGGAGGAAAAGGTTAGGGAATTTGGGTATGGGGCTGAACCATATAACTGGGCCCCAACTGATGATGGTGCAAGGCCCAAATTTGAAAATTATGAGGAACTAAAGGAGCAGGCCACGGTGGTTACTAAAGGAAGCAATTGGCCAAGCAAACGAAATGGGCCGAGTGCTCTACAACAGGGGCCCAATTTTATTACTGGAGGAAATAGGAGTGTTGGGCCACAAAAACGGCCCAATGACACCCATCTTACTATAGGGCAGGGTTCAGGTGCCATGGGTAAGGGGCAAAGGGCTGCACAAGGAAGGTTAATGGAGAACGACAACTACAGTGACCAGAGCGCGAGTTTCCGATGGTTGATGGAGGAGAAAATGGAGGATCGACGGCGGTGCAGCGCGATTGGAAACGTGCAGGGCAGCAACACACATAACACCAACATAGTGACCCAGTCCTCATATGGAAACGCCACAGAAGCTACGTACAACGGCGAGAGGTGGGGAACAAGATGCCGACGACTTACACCGAACGTGATGGAACAGGGGAGGAGGAACCTTGGTTCTAGATGCGATGCACTTTTCTCCGTGAACCACATATACGGTAATCAACAACTTTCGGTGATGTTATTGCGGGCGAGAAGCGAATTCGCAAATTTGGGGAAAGAAGATCTTTCGCACCTCGATCAAGGGAATGACAGGGTCATGCGGTTGAGCGTGCACAGAATCATAGAGGTAATATGTCAAATGCAAGGGGTTGGTGAATTTTTAAAGGGGTGGAGACTGCTTGGAATAGGACATGCAGAGAACGCTAATGTTCTACAGGCCATTGCTCGTAAGAGATGGAGTAAGACATCGAGGAAGGGGGCAATAGAATTTTGCAGTGGCAGTTTTTTTACTTCAATCATAACTTGGTCAATATGCTTCAAGCTTTGGGACCCAGGAGGAATGTATCTCACATTACCTGTACTCTTCCCTCACCTTGAGGACAAGGTGAATTTTAGAGGGGGAGTATTGATGGGCCTTCAATAAAGTAACCAAGCCCATTAATTAGGAATTAGTATATATAGAAGTTTAGGGTGATGTTTCTGTTATGCATGTATTCAATTCTGATTTAGTGGGGAAATTGAGAGACTTCTAGGGAACTCTTGAGCCTAGGTATTTGGTTTGAGGGGGAGTTGAGGTTTCTTGGGGTTTATTTTCTGCATATTAGTGTATGTAAAAGAGGCATGGCCTCCATTATCTCTATAATTTCAGTGTTATTTTTCTGGTTTCATCATACACCTTTTCAGTTCCATAAGATAAGGTAACGAACTTTTTATGCTAACATATTCAAAACTGATAATTTTTTGTTTTAATAGATGAAATTGATCTGCTAGCATAAACAAGAGGTGTAATTATGGGGGCAAATAGAGAGATAGATGCCCTGGGGAGAAGGAGGGCAGGGGAAACCATTGATCTTCTTGATAATAAGTAAAATTAAATCTTAGAACATATCTAGTAAGGTAAGAGTGTGACACGTGGCATATTGAGGGCATATATCAAGTTTCTGCATTTTCTTTGTCAGTTCATGTTTTAGCTTCTGAGTCTCCTATGAAGTTCACGCAGGGATATGAATCAAGTACTTTGTTAAGAAAGAAATGTGAGACAAAAATAATAAAGTTCAACATTACATCCCCCTTTGTGATAAAAAGTCTAAAGAGCAAGTAGGTTGCCAAACTTATAGGGTTATATATTCAATTTAGTTCAAAACATTTTATTAACGTAGCAAACAATAAACCACTTTTTCGGTTCCAAAAGATAAGCTAATTTACTTCCCAATCTGTTTTTAATTAGTTAAGCTACTGTTTTACAATTAAGGAAGAAAAGAAAAATACCTCGACAGCCCAACCATCAACAACAAAAACATCCAATGAATATCCATCCAACGTTGAAAAAGCATGTGCTTCTTGAATGTTCAGCCCAGTTTCAGACAATAAGGAAGTCAACTGTAGTTGCAATACAAAAGGTTACTAATTAGGAGGAATGGATTGATAAATCTTTCTAATATGTTCTCTAATTGTTAGAAGTATTGTTAACGAAAGAACATAATATATAGAAAAATATTGTAGAAAACATTGCTAAAGCGGTGGGGATTGATTCCATTATAGTTAGAAATATTTGTACAACAACTACAACAATAAGATCAGCTACCTGACTGAAAAGTTTTGGCTTATCGTTTGTTGAAATTGTGATTTCATGCACAGCCCTGCCATTTTATAAGTAGCAGAATGTGATAAACAGAAATAAAAGCTTCAAGCAATCAAATAAATATTTAAAACAAAAAAAAAATGATTATATTTGAGCAAGAAGTAAAATTGAAACAAATAAAAGAACTGATACTATTTTATTTTTTTTTAGTTGAAAGGAGAACCTATTATTAGGTGTGTCTTAGGGACGCCTACATGTACTCCAATGGGGAGGAGGAAAGAGAAATAGAATGAGAAATGGTGCATTGCAGAATAAGTAAAAGGAACTTAGGGAAGGACAAAAAAAAAAAAAAAAAATCAAGAAAAATTGTAAGTGAAAAAAAATAAAAGATAAAATGTAACTTTAAACAAATAAACGACAGACTAATTAAAAAAAATAAAAATTGAACAAAGGAACAACTAGAAAAGACAATAAGATGATCATTGAAGTTTTAACGGAAATAATGCAAATAAAAATTCGAACCGATTTCCCTGTCTTGAACTTGTAACTGGCTCGCACCAAGATCAAGTTCAAGTTAGTTGATGAACCAAAGGCCGGGGTGGATGGATACTGAGGAGCATCAAACAGAAAAGGCAACAGTTGGTAAAGTTTAACAAATCTATCTTTAAGACATTACAATAAGAATGAAGAATAGATAGTAGTGTAAAGAGGAAAAGGACAAGGGCAAGTAAATTTTCACAGAATCATGCCTCATGTTGCCGGGAATATCAGAATCTTGAGGACTGGTTTCTCTTGGTAAGTTTGAATCAAGGGATTTGCTACAATGCACTCCAGAAGCAGAATGAACCTGAATAAAAGATATATTGCCAGATCAAGCTAATCAACTTGCTAATACAGGTACCGTAAAATGAATAATTTAATTTTCTGGATACCTATATAATTAGAACATAGCAATTTCCTCAAAATGGGGAATGAAATGTCTAATAAGCAATAAAATTGAAGGGATGGTAAAAAAAAAATGTTCCTTTAATCATATGGACACTTTAATCTCATATACCCGTTTCAAGGTGTGACCTTTTTCCGTGCCCATGTTAGTCGTAGTTTGAGTTTGATTTCCAACTTTTCGTTTTTGGTATGGGTTATGTACTTGCACCATAAATCCTCAACCAGATTGTTGGAGTTTTGGGACTCATCACACTTAAAACTCCAACATATATTGGTGGTCATACTTACCTTGCATGTCTTTCTCTAATCTAAAGTTTTAAAATCAAGAGTAAATTCTCAACAAATATTATGGGGTCCAATTTAACCTCTTAGGAAAAAAAATTGACTCATGATCCCTTTGAAATTCAAAATAAACTTATGTTTATCTTTTTAAAAGATTAATGTGGGTCTTTTTTGAATTTTAGAGGGACTACGATTTTGACTTTCTGAGTCTATTTTAAATTTCAGAGAAACCACGAGTCATTTTTTTTGCTAAGAGATTATATTGGGTCTCATAATTTGTATTGAGGATCCAAAAAATACTTTACTCTAAAATTAAAGAATAAAGGGGACAAATGGCTAGCATGCATCTAGTTTTTGGCCTAATCAAGTACATAATACCTATATTGACTCACGGGTGAAGGAGAAAGGTAAGCATTTAGAGGTCAAAACTTTATCTGCTACTATTAATCTTATGATTAGTTCACCCATAAATCACCTGCACAAGACGGACTTCAACTGCAGGTCTAGGAGCAATAGCTCGTGCCATATGCTGTAACCTTTTATGCATAAGAACATCTTGGGCCCTCTCCACATTCATATCCAATGCATACCTAACATATGAGATTAAATTGACAAACACCAGCAACATTTAGAAGCCTTCACACAATATCAACCCCGTGAATAACAATTTAAGAAACCAATAGCAAAAACATAAAGTAACCACCCACTTATGATTAAATTAAGGAAACAAATACAAGGAAAACGAGAGGAGAACAACTTAATTGGCTTAAAGATGTGAAGCTTGTAATTTTTGTCCACTTCCATGTACCCAAGCAAGACAGAAAGGGCATGAAAAACTGAAAATGAAGCGTAATTGAACAGAAAGCTGGAAACATATTGAAAAGAATCAAATCAAGATTTTACCTAAAAACTAGAAACAACAATATCCCATCAAACAGAACCATTTGTTTCAAGCTGTAAGGAGCTTATTCATTTTAATAAGAATTCTGAAATAATATTGGCCCCTCATTGCACAATAACAGTCATTTAATCTAGAAACTCTAGTTGTTAAGTGATTTGGGCTTGAATATTTTTTTTGTTCTACTTCATGCAGTGAGAATTGAACTCACGACCCGTGATCATAGAGACTCAAAAATCATTTTAAATAAAACACGAGAGGATTCATTCCACGATAAAATAGACGAAGAGAAGCAACAAGATTGAAAGAGTACCTAGTGGGAAGGAGATAGAAGTGCACCCAAAGTTCATCTTCAAAATCAGGAACAGTAACCTCTGGAGCATTCAATTCCCTAAGCCGACTAAGAATCTCGTTGTAAACTCCAACTTTCAAAGTCTGCATTCGACCATGATTCAATCCAGAATTAAAAGCTCTACGATTGCAACTTTGTGTATCTCCCATATATGAATACAATAATAACACCTTCTAATTAAACCAAAACCACATAGCACTTAAGTCAAAAATTTGAATATAAGAAATGTAAACAGCGATCCTTCACAGGCACATGAACAACCAAACTATGAGGAACATGAAATATTCCCTCTGCATGTAAGAAAAATTGCAATTTCCAACTTCCCCCTGTCTCTATTTCTGTAACACGATCGTGACATTAAAATGAACGTTAACGAGTCAGTGCAGTGTGGATTATAACATTGTGACATTGCTTTGCTTGAATCTTACTGTCATCAATTTAAATATAAGTTTTAATGATAAACAGAACAACTTTTAATCTTTTTATTAATCTTTTGATAGTATCAGCCACCAATCAAATTCCAAAGGCCAAAACAACCCTGTGGGCGTCCCCTGTTTGTCTCATAAACCAACGCATAGCATCACAGTTAGATATACAACTAAATAACTTTATATTTTTAATTTTTAATGTTATTAAATTTGGGTCCATCAATCATTCCTTGCTGCTTATTGAGGAGCCAGAAGATAACTTATGGAACTGTATTAATTTATCCTCTTATCATGATGTCAGTGAACCTTTTTTCTTGCTATCGTTTTCCCTTTTTTCTAATGATGTTTTACTGTGATTAATTTAATTAAGAGCCAATTATTAGAAAAATTAATGTCATGTTACTCTTTCCGTTTCATTCACCCCGTATCGTTATTTTGTATAAATAAGAAAAATTATGTTGTTTGATTTCAATTCTTAAATATAGTTTTTTAATCTTCAGAACAAAAAATTACAAAAAACACATGTTTGCTAATGCTTGTTTTGTAAAAATAATTCTAAAAATTATAATTATTTTTTAGTTTTTAAAATCAAATTTAAATAACATGATTGAGTTATTTTTGTTTTGTGTCTTGACTTTTAACTTTCAAAAGAAAAAAAGTATAGAAAACAATTATATCATTAATTATTCTACAAAATAATTTTTAGATTTAAAAAAACAAAACACAATCAAACCGATTCTATCATTATAATATCATATTAAGGTTGCTAGAAGCTAGAATCTAAAATTAAAAATCATACTGAACTCGTTAAAGTAGAACTATTAAGATATTATTTTATTAAAAATAATAAAATTTTATTTATTGAAAATACAGGTTGGGAGGCTTACAAATTAGGCCTTCTAAAATAAGTTTGTGGCCTGATTTCTAAAGAGGTCTTTCAATGAGTTCAAACCCGTATTATTTTTCAGACAAGTCACACTAAGCCTGGCCCAAGGCAGCCATGATCTAGGTCATGACAAATCGCCTAACCTATTTTTCACCATTAGTGATGACTTAAAACAATTCTTGATAATACTGAAAAGAAAATAATGACTAGCCAATCACACAAGAAGGGGAGTGAATTGTGTGTGCCTTCTTTTGGAAGAAACAATGAAAATCAACACCCCTTTTTCAAGAAAACAAGCAAGAACGAATTCAATCTAAAATCAAATTATTCCCAACCTTTAAATAGAATCAAAACATTCCAAATAACATGTAATTTAGAGATTAAAACAGCGAAATTAAAAAGAGAATGTAAAAAGGAAAAATCACACTAAGATTTATCCTAGTTCACTAACCACTTGAGAACTACATCCAGACTGAGGTTGATTCGTTCCACTATGTTATAGCTTCCAACCGATGCCAGAAAAATTGATTTACAAGAGGAATTTTACAAGTCATTGATCACACTAAACCTAAGACCCTTAGGATCACTCCACTTGTCTCACAAACGATTGGAGCAATCAAATTCATCCAAACAGATGTAGGGCAGCCTCCCCACATTTAGAACTCTGAAAAAGATCATACAGAGATTAAGAAATAAGAGAGTAATTGAGCTTTTCTTCAAAGATATGCAAAACTAGGTCAAATGAGGGTTCAATATGAATTCTATGTGTTCTGTTGTTTCTCTTTGATAATTGGTATTTATAAACCCTAATATATATATATATATAGGTGTCCTATCGAGTTACTAGCTGTTTATAGCCATTAAACATCTAATTATTCGAATTACTTAAGCTTTGAGTCACTTATAACAGATAGTAATCGATTACTTCTCGTGGGGTAATCGATTACTTTTTCAAAGATTTCAGGTAATCGATTATTGTTTATAAGGTAATCGATTACTTCTTCAAAACAACGTAAGTAATGGATTACTTTCAAAAAATATTCGATTACTTCATATCAGAAACCAATTTTTCTAGTGATTTTTCTATTTAAATGATTTGCAATGAATTCTAAATGGTTTCTAGTGACTTGTAGCATATGTATGATCATGTCTTACACTTATATAACAACTCTCCATGTGTGTGGGATCTTGTATGAATGATCAAAGTATATATGTCATTTATGTATGAGTTTATGGCCTATCGAAGAAACCTTCAAGTTAAAGCTCAATAAACTCAATCTTTAACTTCCTAAGACTCTAAACAACATTACAAATAGTATAAGCATTGAGTCTTCTTCGTCTTCAATAAACTTCATACTTTGAGTCTTCTATTAGTTCTTTAAACTTGAAAATTTTGACTTCTAGGTTGACTTTGCTAAATTGAGTAGTCCTTTCATATATGCACTTTGCTTTGGTCTTGTTGTACTGCTTTGCATGTTGTGCTTCCATGTTAAGCTCATTAGTACTTTGTTATCATCAAAACATCATTTTCATGCATGGTCTTCATGACCTATGGTTCAACAAATACTCTAATCAAGAATTCTTCACAGCATGTGTGCCAAAGAGTATTGACATATGCTCTAGGTGTTAGTATACTCTATTCATGAAAGAAAAAAATTGATCCTCTCAAGATGAAAAAGGACACAGTCCCCCCAAAATACATATATATATATTTACATATATATATATATATAATAAAAATAAAAAATCAATCATGTGATGATAGATATATAACATTGTGGTAAATTTATGGAACTAGTGGTAGTCAACTAGTGAACCACCCGTTTTTGAAAGTTAAATTGACCTTGAAGGCCGAAGCATGTGAGAGGGAAAAACAAAATTTTCCATGTGGAATCACACATGTGTTGCGGATCTAGCAAGTGTACTAGTCGTACAAGTAATAAAATGATGAGTAAAGATCGTTCCCACAGAGATTTGTATTCAAACACCAATGAACCATAGAAAACTAATTTGAATTAAACAAAGGTTTGTAAAAATCATGAATGTTTTGTCACCAGAAAGTTAATTTGAAAGTAAATTAATTTAATACTAAAAATTTGAATTAAGATTTTATAAAAACAAGTAGTCAGAAAACAACTTTCCTCAACAATAAACTCAAGTAAACCGATCATATGATGAAATCTTTTTCCTGTGATGTTAATCAACCTTTTACTTATCCTCAAGATGTAATCCCTTACTACCCTGATAGATACATTAATCAGAGACCCCAATCCCTTGGTGATTCCTTTCTTAATATATGTATGAAATACTAAGGTCTTAAGATTACATCAGAACTATAGCATCAATTCCTTGAGTACTATAATCCTGATGATGAGATTGTCAAATATAGGAGTAGTGTAAACATTCCTGTTCTACACTCCTCCCTTAGTAGAAAGAATTGAATCAGAAAATCTCATATCAACACATGAAAAACACTTCATCATATTAATCAAATATACATAAGAGTATCATTGAGTTCCATTGAATTCAGACTACGATGACTCTACTCAGACATAACTAAAGAAGATAAAAGAGAAGAAAGATCAAACTCCATTTCCATGTAGTGAATCTTCAATCTCCAAGTGCAATTACAATAGAGAAACTAACTAATACAAAGACTAAGTCTAAGAGTTTTAGAGAGAAGTCAGATCAGAGAATCTGATGTAGGAGAGAGAGAGAAAGACTCCAGATATCCCAAATTGTGAAGGCATTTGCCTTATATAGGTTTACAATTTAAAACAGAATTTTAATATGGGCGCAAAAACGTTCAGAATGAGCGTTTTAGCGTCCATGCTTGACGGATGCCCAACTGCTTTAAACTAACTTGAACGCTTAAACGTTCATGATTGGACGTTTTAGCGTCCATGCCTCGTGAATACTCAACTGTCCTCAACTGACTCCAGCGCTAAAACACTTGGTTTGGACGTTTTAACGTTGGAGACCAGAGATTTTTTAACATCAGGGCGCTAAAACGTTCGTTGAAGGAAGTTTTAACGCCCAAGACCAGCAACTTTTCGTCCTCAGAATGTAGCAGCGCGCTAAAACGTTCTGTGTGGCCGTTTTAGCGCTCAGCACCAGCAAGTTTTGGCCTCTTTCTGCAACAGGGCGCTAAAACGTTCTGTGTGGACGTTTTAGCGCTCAACACTTAGGCATTTTTCTTCTCTTCAAAATCTCCTTCCTTCTCCAGTTGCCTTTTTAGTTAGTTTTCCCTACAAGAACAATACAAATTCTCAATAAAGCTTCTTGAACTTGTAGTTGAGGAAATTCTAGGACATTAACCTCTTTTTCAATCATTTAATCACACAAATTGATACTAATTCATGCTGAAAAACTTGAAAAACTAAGGGTTTATCAACATGCAATCAAGACTCATGCTTTAAGACAACATGATGTTACCTTTGTTTGTGATTCAAACACCAAGGAGATCAGTGTAAGGTTTGAAGGGTTCAAACCCTCTAACGTTGATCCACACCACCCACGTCAAGATGCAAGAACTCTTCTTGAAGAGCCACCAATTGATCACCACAAAAGCTTGCTAGGCGTCCAATATGTGAAGGAGGAGGCTAGGTTAAGGTGTTTAGAAGAATGAAATTTTTATCTTAAAAATTCACAAAAGTGGCGCATGGATTTGATGATCTATGGCTAGGTTATTTTTCAAAACCTCTTGAGAAAAACCCTAACAAAAGGATGACCAAAGGAGATGAGAGAACTATCAAAATTGGATCAGATTTTTCTCTAAAAATCTGACCATAAGTAGCGCCCAATAGAGAGGAAAAATGGAGTTGTTGCAAAATCA